TCCTCTCTCTGCTGTCTTTCTTATCTAGACAAGTATGGGAGCTCCAAATAAAGGAATGATAATGGGGTTAACTAGAGCTGAAGGGAACAACAGCAGATGAGTATCCAAAGGGAAGGCCAGATAGAATTATTTATGGATATGTGTGTGGTATGTAATCATCACACATGGCTTGAATGTTCAAATTGTGTTGACTGTGGAAGGGATTGTGGGGAACACAGAATTTGTAATATCTGTTCCTAAAATCTTATGGTGGTCCTTGGGAAGAAAAACAACCATCAGTCCAGGCAGAGAGCAGGCACATAGATACCTGCAGATTACTTGGAGTAGTAAGCAGAGAAGTGAGTGAACAGCTGACCTGATGCCACTTCTGAATTTCCTTTCAAACCTTGTAGTTTTCAAGTACTGTCTTATTAGCAGAAAATGTGTGGTATGGTGAGGTCAGCAGATCAGGGGACAAGAACTGTTGAAAAGACACACAGACCCCCAGAGGAGGGACACGCCATGCCATGGGGATGGGGGGCACACAGGGAAGCCCCAGCGTCAGTCAGGAGGCAGAGAGAGTGAGGGAGGACCTGGGGCCAGGAGCCTTTATTGTGCCTTTTTACGTGAAGGACGAGTGAGGCGAAGTAGACAGTTTAGGATTGCTGGGTTTGGCATATTGTTGTCCTAGTGCTGTAGTTCCTGGCAGGGAGGATTGGGAAAAGGTAGTAATGAGGCCAAGTATGAGAGCTCAGACAGGGTGCTGGACTCTGGACTAATTGCTGTGGACATAAAACGGGGGCTCCTGATTGAGTGTACTAGCTCAAGGAATTGACCAACTCAGGAAGGGGCAGTTACTCCAGGGTCAGCAAGGTCCCAGGTGTCAGAACATCAGAATATTGAAAAGAAAAAAGTCGTGGTTAATAGACCCTTAACAGAGTTAAGCATTTCTCTTTTGTGCGCTGATGACATCATTAGCAAGTCTCCAGGTCAGTCCTTCCAGCAAGTCTGCCAAGAACACCAGGGCTCCCAGTGCCTCCCCTATTAAGTCAGCAGTTCACTGTGACCCAGAGAGGGGTGTCTTCAGTGCAGCCTGAAGGCCTCTGTCAGGACTGCGGAGGGCGCAGAGCAGGCAAAGAGCCCTTCCAGTGAGGATGTCAGCCAAGTGTTGTGTGGGCAGCAGCCTGTGCTAGCTCCCAACAGGCCGTCATGGCAGGCATATCTGGCATTAATTAGGGAGCTGCTCAGTTCAGGGACAGGGGCGGACAGTATTTATAGCTTTGGACATGTTTTAGGCTTGCAGGGGGACTGCTGTGTAATATGTGCATAATTAGGTTCTGTGTATTTGAACAGTTTAGGTCCAGAGAAGTGAGGGTTTTGGGCTGGGGAGATGCTCTATGAGCAAATTTCTGAGCAAAGATGTAAAAACATGGGGGAAAGGATGCCATTCCATCCTGAATAAATGCAGAATTAAGGTGTGTGTGTGTATACATATATATTTGCGGGCATGTGTATGGTTGTATATGTGTGTGTATGAGACATGCACATGTGTGTGTCTGTACACACACACACACGAACTTGTGGCTGTATATACAGTCAGCATTCAGCTCCTAATCTTACGTTTAGCCCCAATCTTGTAAAAAGTCTATTTTGAGAAATTATTTAAAAGCTAGTTCATTTGCTTCTGTACAGCAAAAGAGACAGTACAGAGGACAAGCAGACATCCCACTGATGGGGGAAAAACTTTGTCACACAAAACTAGCGATAAAGGATTGATCACAAAAATATACAGAGAACTGAGGAAACTCAACAAAAATAAACAACCCCAACAAAAAAATGGGCAGAACAGCTAAAAAGACACTTCTCCAAAGAGGAAATGCAGATGGCCAACAAACATATGAAAAAATGTTCAATATCACTTGTAATAAGGAAGATGCAAATGAAAACCACAATGAGATACCACCTCACCCCAGGGAGAATGGCATGTCTTAAAACAACTAACAACAAATGTTGGTGAGGATGTGGAGAAAAAGGAACTCTCCTGCACTGCTGGTGGGAATGCAAACTAGTACAACCACTATGGAAAACTGGAGGTTCCTCAAACTGCTAAACATGGAGCTTCCCTATGGCCCAGCAATCCCACTCCTAGGTATCTACCCAGAAGACACAAAAACACTGATACAAAAAGATACCTGCACCCCCATATTTATTGTCCAAAATAAATGACTGGATTAAATGCCCAAAAGTAGATGACTGGATTAAAAGATGTGGTATGTATACACACTGGAATATTACTCAGCAACCAAAAAAAAAAGTTAATAATAATAAACACATGCCTTTTGCAGCAACTTGGATGAAGCTGGCAAAGATCATGCTTAGTGAGATGAGCCAGAAAGAAAAAGAAAAATACCAGATGGTTTCACTCATAGCAGGAGTATAATGGACCAGGAGAGAAAATAATAATAATAATAATGAACCAGTTACTTTTTATGGGGATGGAGTGGGGAATGGGATCAAAAACAGTGGGAGAAGGGAAGTGTGTTGGACATGGGTTACTTGGTGTTGGGAAACCTACGAGGATTACAATTGAGATGGAAAAAAATGTACAAAATGATGTAAAAATAAACTTATATTAAAAAAAAAAAAACTAGTTCATTCTTGGGCCACTTGCACAACCAGCATGATAAACAGTCAGCAGACAGATTTCGAGCCCAGGGGACACCCGGCGCTGTGCCAGCTCTCAGAGCCTTTGCTGCCTCCACCTCCCCCCTTACTGCCTCCACCTCCCCCCTTACTGCTTCTTTATGGACATCATGGTTTTTGTTGCCTTGTCTCCATCTTGTTCCCATGAAACGAACCCAGCTGTGTATTTTTTCTTTCCCATACTTTGTTTTTCTTAAGCTTTTCAGTGATTTTCCTTTTGTCCATATGAGCAGTTCTAGTTTTCCAGTTTATCTTATTATGATTAGTTACCATTCTACTGCTTTAATTGATTTTCCCAGAAAGAAAAGATAACGCACAATTAATCTTGTACACTTTAGCTAGAGATTCGTGTTTCTGGAATTTTCACCTTGTAGTATTCTTCCTTGGGTGTACATCTCTCTTGCATAATTTTATGTAACTATTTCTATCTCCTTTCTGTGGTTCCACCTTACCCTCAACTAGTAAACTGTTGCTATTTCTATTTTTATTTAACAACATAAAAGATACATTAATATAATCGTCACATTATTTTGGCATTACAGTTTGCCAAGTCTCACTCTCTGAGGTAAGGTGCTATTGTTGCTCCCATTTTACAGGGACTAAACTAAACTGAGGCACAAGCGAGGTGAAGTGATTCTGTTGGCATTAAGTCTGAAAATATTGTCACTATGTTCAGCTACCACCATCGTGGATGAAAGGCATGTGAATGATGAAAGAGTGGATGAAAGCGTATGTGAAAGCAGTGTGTAATTCAGCACACTTTTCCGTCAGACCTGCCATCCATTCTCCTCTCCTCTGTGTCATTCCCGCACACCACTGCTGCATGGCCCTTCATAAGGGAGCTCTTGCTCACCCTTCAGTAGTCATATCCACAGAGGGGCTGCCCATGATTCCTCAGAAAGGTTGGCACCCTGCACCCCAAAATGGTTCCATAACTCCATGGCCATTAGCCTGTGTGGTTGAACCAACATCTTGCTTCCCCATTGGGATAAAGTTTCACGGGGAACCTGGTCTGATTTTGTTCGCTGGGCACCCCGCAGGCCTAGGTATGTGGCAGGTTCCAGCTGGCAAGTGTCAGATGCATGAACCAAGGCTTAGAAGAAAGAGAAAAGAAAGTAAAGACTTAAATGCTTATCACATTCCAGATTTCAGGTATAATATTACCATTCAGTTATTGTACCTGTTGGGAATAAGTTTTACTTAAACAGAAAATTCAGCTGCAAATATCAGGATATTACTTGTCTTAGATACAAAAGGGCGAGGTGGTGTGATTGCTAGCGGACATCACCACGGTCCTAGCCCCTCCTGTGTCTCTGCTCCCTTAAGCATTATGATAAGCCTTACAGGATGACAGTTACTGGTGTTCCATTGTGTGAGCAGTAGATTTGTTTCATGAGTGGAAGTCTTTTTGAGGGGAGAAGTGGAAGGAATTCCTAGGATAGTGGAGAAGGCTCTCCCAAAGTGATCCTTCACCCTGATCTTATTTAAGTCTGAACTCCACAAACTGGAACCTAGGTGCTTCGGAGAGATGACTGACCTAAATCATTGGGATGACCTGCTCAGCAGTTTAAATAAGAGCAAGTGTTTCTAAACTTTTCTTTTTAAGCACTTCCCAGGGAGAAAGGTTTCAGTCTCTTCAGGTGGGGAGGAAGAAACAAGCTGCCAGTTGGCGGGAGCCAGTGGAGAAGGGAGCCGAGGAGTGAGGTGGAGGGCAGGTCTCTTACCATTCAGTTGATTTGACAGATTATGCCTAACCCGTAACTGTGCTTCATGCCTCAAGTCCAGACCTTCACCTCATCGAGAGAGTAAAGCTTTCTGGGTAAGGTGGAGGAAGGGCAACCCAGAAAGGGAGAAAGAGTTCTTAAGTGGATTTGAGAAGCCCGCTGTACTGTTTTCATATGTCTCTGCCGCCTGTTTCATAGACACCTGTTTCTATTCCTGAGCACTGTGGGGCTGGTCGGCACACTCTCATCTCTATATTTGCAGCCAAGTTGTGGCCTGTTTCCTAAATTTAAAAAGCCCACAGCTTTAAACTCTTGTGTCCTCTTGCTGTTAGTACTTGTGCATTTAACCTTTTCTCTCTTGATTTGCTGGAAAAGAAGGCAAAGATATATGTATTGTTTTTCTATAAAAGGTTGTACCTCTGTCTTTGAAATATACAAAATGCATTCAGCTACTTCCATATCTGCTGTATGTTTAGCTGATTCTGTCATGTAGAAATGATAGGGAATGTATATTCCTGGGAGTCAGTTTTCAAGGGAATTAAAACTACATCTCCAAAAATGAACTTTGAATAAAATGTCTTTTTAAATTTTTAGATTGTGAGCCATGCCGTTAGTGAAGCGGAACATCGAGCCCCGGCACTTGTGCCGGGGAGCCCTGCCCGAAGGGGTTGCCAGTGAACTTGAATGTGTGACCAATAGTACTCTTGCTGCTATCATCCGCCAGCTAAGCAGTTTAAGTAAGTCATTTCATTTATACGACACCGTTTTTGTATTACCAATGTCGTTTAATTGTAATATTAGTAAGTGGATTTCCACTCAATACTAACGTGATTATCCAATGAAGAGACAGTAGCTTTAAAGGAAGACACATATGCTCTCCGTAACCCCCCTGGGTGACCTTCGTTGGTCTTATGATGCCAACTTTACATGCTGAATTTATAAAATAAGTTAGAATGAACAAATTCACAAGTTATTAAATAAGGTCAAATGTGAATGGAAACCAGTGTTTTGTTTTGTTTTGTTTTGTTTGTTTTTTATCTTACTTTACAGCAAGGATAAAATAACTGGTAGTTTACCTCAAAAATTTAAAGAATTATTTTATCGAACTTGAACAGGACTAGTTGATTTTTCAAAAGATAGCAATATATTGATAAATGAATCAAGATACATTGAAGAATTGAAAACTAGTTAATACCTGTAATGCACCTGACATAGATGTTCAATAGCTATTTGTTGATTGAATAATTTTCCAAATGGATTTTAAAAGAGGCATTACAAAATAGTGATATTTTTCTGATTTAACTTATTAAAAGTTAAATACAGGTATTGACTTTCAAATTGAGGTCAAGCCAGATTATGACACATATATAATACCATGTGCATTAGTTTTATAAACAAGCAAGTACAAGCATAAGAAAGAAAAGACTTTGTTTTATTCCAATTTGGAACATCAATATGAAATACCCAAGAAATATTATGGTTTTTTTTTAAACTTAAATATGCATAAAAATGCTTTTTCCTTCAAAGCTTTTTAAAGTTGCAGTTTGTTCCTTAACCTTTACATTTATATTGTGATCTTGTTTTCTCACTTCATCCCACTCCTTTTTGCTTTACATGTTTTACATTGCATTTTTGGTGACAGTTTTTCACAGTTAAGGTTTTCGAAACTGTTAATAACAAGAAAATCCTCTGAAATTTGACATATTGCTAGTCTCAGGCACAGGAAAATGTTTTTAAAAAGAAGTCAAGTATTTTTATTTGCTTTGAAGAAGAAACTGTGGATAAGCATTTTTTCTTCAAACAAATTGTACTGTAATGTTTTTGATATTTTAAATACAAAGTATATGTAATCATTGGCTAAGACAGTGGTAGCTTGGAAATTACTTAAAATGTATTTTCAAAGACTTCTTCTAGAATCTAAACTCATTGCAGTTGACTTCATAGTGGTTATTGATGATTGATTCATTATCTATATAGCTACAATCTATTGTAGTTATAGGGAGCTACTTTATAAGTCATTGAAAGGTTTAAAAGTTTGTTTGTACTCAGACATTTTTGTAAGAATGCCTTAGTCTTATTTTTATAGTTGAAATGTCTTTTGGCATAGATATTTAAATAATGAAAACCAACATAAACTGTTAAAGTTTTAATACTCAGGCTGTATCTCATGCTATGATTGCAACACAGTGTTAGGCTAGTTATGTATTTGACACTGTGTCACACCCTAAACTACTCAGACAGTATGTTTTGTTTCTCATAGTCCACTTGTGGTTGGCAGAATATTAATAGCTTCTCTGAAGATGTCCACATATTAATCCTTGAGACATGTTGCTGTGTTAATTACCCACCTGGGATAATTCTGAAAGGTAAAAAATTCTGGAGGTAAAAAAGTTAATGTCAGGGTGATGTCACGTGAGAAAGACTCAAGTAGTCATTGTTGGCTTTGAAGATGGAAGAAGAGGCATAGAAGCAAGGAAAGCAGGCAGCAAACTGGAAAAGGCAAGGAAATGGATTCTCCCCAGTAGCCTGCAGAAGGAACCCTCTCTGACAACACTTTGATTGTAGCCAAGTGAGATACATTTCGACCTCTGAACTTCAAAACTGTAAGACAATAAGTCTGTTTTGTAAAGCCACTGAATCTGCTAACGGATGTAGCAACAGCAGGAGCTAATGCCTCACGCAAGCCTTCCTGTGTTTTCCATTCAAAACCCACTGTGGCTTCTAGTGGACCAGGCCTCGAGACTCTGTTAAACTTACACTGATCTAACCTCAGGGAATCTCAACCCTCCTTCTGTTAGACTTACTTGAGGAGCTCTAAAGCAAGAGGCCAGGAATCACACCCTAGAGTCTGGTAGTAGTGTGCACCAAAGATGTGATCTGCGAAGCTAGACACCGGTTATCTGGATTAGAGAGAGAATTTGGAGCTGTCATGTTCTTTCCAATGTGAACTTAGAAATGCAGTGCATTTCCTAGTTTATTATGGCTTTGTTTGAATAAGACAGGGAATGTACTACCTGTGTTCATACCCTTTTCAGCCAGGAGAACTTTGGCTATTCAAGGATATTTGTGATTCCATGTAAAAATCAGCAGTATTGGGCCCTCCCTGTTGGTGCAGCGGGTTAAAGCACAGCACTACTAAGGTAAAGCCACTTCAGCATGAGCTTGATCCCCGCCCGCCCCGGAGGTGACAACATGGCACAGCAGACCTCTCTTGTCTTACCCACTGTTCCCCTCAGCAGTGTACTTCGTCGATCTGCCTGTTCTGCTCCCCATTCTGTCTCTGGTGAATCCTCTCGCTGCCCCTGCACCTCTAGCCTGTACCCCAGCTCTGTATACACAAATAAATAAATCTTTAAAAACAAAATCAGCAGTATTTGTTGCATTTCTTTGAAGAATGTTGAGATTTTTATTGGAACTACATTGAATCTGTAAATTGCTTCGGGTAGGAAAGCCATTTTAATAATGGTAATTCTTCCAATCCACAAGCAGGGAGGTCTTTCCATTTCTTTGTGTCTTCTTCTGTTTAACAGTGTTTATAATTCTTCTTGTGTAGTTCTTTCTTCTCCTTTTTTGCTAGATTTGTTTCCAGCTATTTAGTATTTTGGTACAGTTGTAAATGGGATGGTTTTCTTCATTTCTTCCTCTTCAGACTGATTATATAAGGGAATGCTACTGATTTTTGTGTATTGATTTTGTAAGCTGCTACTTCACTGACTTATTGTTTTAATTAGTTTTTCCATGGATTTTTAGCGTTCTCTGTATATATTATCAGATCTGCAAATCATGATAGTTTAACTTCTTTTCCAGTATGGATTGTTTTTGTCTTTCGCTTACGTAATTGCTGTAGCTAGGACTTACAGTATTATTTTGAAAAGCAGTGGTGGGAGTGGACATTTTATCTTATTCCAGGTCTTAATGGAAAGGCTTCCAGTTTTTCACCATTAAGAATGATGTTAGCTGTGGGTTTGACATATATGGATTTTATTATGTTAAGATAGATTCCTTTTACCTCAAGTTTTTCATCATAAATGGATGTCGATCAAATGCTTTCTTGACATCTACTGATATGCTCATGTGGTTTTTTGTTTTCATTTTGTTCATGTGGTGAATTGCATTAGTTGATTTTTGGATGTTGAACCATCCTTGTGTCCCTGGAAAAATTCCTACTTTGTCATGGTGTATAATCCTTTTGATGCATTGTTGGAGTGAGCTTGCTAAAATTTTATTGAGAATTTAGCATCTGTGTTCTTTAGGGAGATTGGTCTGTTGTTTTCTTTTCAGTGTTATCTGTTTGGTTTTGGCATTAGTGTAGTGTTGGCTTTGTAAAATGCATTTCAAGTATTTCTTCTTTTGCAGTTTTTTTAAGAGTTTTTGTAAGACAGAACCAGTTCATCTTTGAATGGTGGACCTTGCATGTGAAACTGCCTGGTCCTAGGCTTTAATGTTTTGGGGGAAGGGTGGGGCTTTTGATTACTGTTTCAGTTTCACTGATTGTAACTTTTGTTCAAGGTTTTTATTCTTCTTTGTTCTGTCTTAGATGATTGTATAATCCAAGAATTTGTCCATCTCATCTAGACTGTTGAACTTGTTTGCATATGATTGTTAATAATAAGATCTATCCTCTAGATTTCTGCTGTGTCTATTGTAATTGTTCCTCTTTCATTTATGATCCTATTTGAGTTTCCCCTCCTTTTTCTTTATGAACCTTGTTAGAGGTTTGTCTATTTTGTTTGTTTCCAGGAACCAGCTTTTGGATTAATTGATCTTTTGGACTGTGTTATTTCTATTTCATTGTCTCTGCTTTAGTTTTTAACATTTCCTTCATGTCTTTCGGTTATTTTGGTGTTCTTTTTCTAGCTCCTTGAGATGGCAGACTAGATTGGTTCTTTGGGCTCTTGTTTCTTGTTGTGTGTCTGTATTGTTATATTTAACATTTGCTCTTAATACAGCTTTTGCTGTGTCTCATATCTTTTCTAAGATTATATATTCATTATCATTTGTCTTAGTTTTTTTTTTTTAATTCTTTGATTGCCTCATTAATCCAGTGTGATTTTTCAGGAGTGTGTTGCTCAGTCTTTAAGTAATGGATGTCTTTTTGCTTTCTTTTTGTAGTTGATGTCTAATTTGACATCTTTATGGTCATAGAAGATAACTGGTGTGATTTTAGTCATCATATACTTGTTGATGTTTGTTCTGGTGACCCAGTACGTGGTTGACCCTAAGAATGATATGTATGTACTTGAGAAAAATGTATATCCCATTTTGGGGGGGCATGTTAGACCCATGTGGTCTAGAGCTTTCTTTACGGCTGCTATGTCCTTGTTTATTTTCTGTCGCATTGCTCTGACCATTGGTGAGAGTGGGATGTTGAAGTCTCTTACCCCGTATATGTTTTCTCTTGTGTGTTTTCAGAGCCTGAATTGTCTAATGTATTCTGGTACTTCCTTACTTGGTGAGTAGATACTGATGAGTGTTATGTTTTTCTGGTGTACTGTTCCTCTGATGATTATATAGTGTCTACCCATGACTCTTGTCACTTTCTTTAGTTGGAAATCTATTATATCTGATATGACTACCTCTACTGCCTTTTGGGTGCCAATTTCTCATAGAATTGTTCCAACCCTTCATTTTTATTCTGTTTCTTTTTGGAATTTAGGTGTGTTTCCAGGAGGCAGTGGGACGCTGCTACTCTTTGTCTTTTTATTGGTGAGTTTAGACCTTAATGCTCAGGGGAAGT